AGAATTTTAATCTTGTTTGGAAGCAACCAGGCACAGGGGTTCTTTTTATTTAGAAACACCCTGGAGGTAATGGACACCTCAGAAATATCATCCTTTGTCTTCCATAGGAAGCTGAATTATAAAGCTGCGTAATGGTTACTTTATGGGGCGCCTGGGTGGCGCAGTCAGTTAAGCGGCTGATGAGCACAGCTCAGGTCATGAACTCACTGTTCTTGAGTTACAACCTCATGTTAGGCTGTGTGCGGTGCAGGCAGTGCGAAGCCTGCTTGAGATTCTCTCTCCCTCTCTCTTCCCCTCCCTTGCTCGCTTGCTCTCTCAAAATAAATAAACTTTAAAAATTAAAAAAATAGTTACTTTGAAGAGAGGAAAGAAAAAAAGGAAACCTTCACACACACACACACACACACACGTTTACAGGAATGTTTTTGTCTTTGTTTGTATCTTTTGAAATGTGTCCAGTCTGCGGTTTTTTTTTAATGCTTGAGTATGTCCTTGACTCCTCTATCAAAATGTAGACACGAAAGAAACTCGCAAGTTTAAGAAATCTGAGTAGAATTCACTAAAGCTGGATAGAATTATATGTACGTGTTAAGATAAAACATCTTGTGTAAACCACCAAGTTTTCCTGAATATTTCTGGACAGATCTTCAGGGGATGGGGCAAAGGTGGTATAGGAAAAGAGGAACCGGACACTTTCAGAAAATTATTGGCAGTGGTGGCCTACAGGAAACAAATCTTTATTATCTCTATTGTTGTATGTTCCTTTTGGATTTGCCAAAGAAAATTAAAAGGTAAATTTTAGCGTGAACTCACTAAATGTGGGCATTTGATGTTTATTTTTGCAAAGGAAATTAAGTCAGTGTGATTGGCAGGGTTGAGACCTGAAGTTCCTCTTCCGGGTAAGGAAAATTTCTCTTAGTAATCTGTAGATTGGTTATGGTATACTCCTGCCCCCAACCTTGCAAGATAACTTCATGCTCCCTTCTGTAAGGGAAGTTTTGAGAAAAAAAATTAGTCTACTGTGCCTAAAAGGATTTGCAGACAAAAGGCGGATAATGAAAAATGTCTGACACCTCTCATTCCCTGGGTCACCTGAACCCATTCAGTTTCATTCACCAGTGAGTGGTTAGCGGATGTAGAGCATAGGAATTTGGGACCAGAGGTTGGAGTTCCAAAAAGTTGAAAGTGTAAAGTCAAAGGCCAGAGGTTTATAATGTTGCTTCTTAGTTTGTCTTATTTATTTTTTTAAAATTTTTTTTTTCAACGTTTATTTATTTTTGGGACAGAGAGAGACAGAGCATGAACGGGGGAGGGGCAGAGAGAGAGGGAGACACAGAATCAGAAGCAGGCTCCAGGCTCTGAGCCATCAGCCCAGAGTCTGACGCGGGGCTCGAACTCACGGACCGCGAGATCGTGACCTGGCTGAAGTCGGACGCTTAACCGACTGCGCCACCCAGGCGCCCCTGTCTTATTTATAAGTAGGAACCCAGAAATGAGCTCCCAAATAAAATATTTTAGGAATAGTGTTTCTTAAGTAACTCCAAATGTCAGTACATGGACAGGGAAATAAATGAAGTCTAGTGGGTAATGCATCAATCAGACTGAGCAATGAATAGGAATGAATAGCAATGAATAGGATAGGAATTCCCCACAGAGGAGAAAAACCACAGAAGAGCATACTTAGTAAAATTTATTTTTTTAAAAAAGAAGAAAAACAATAATTTATGCCCTTGGCAAAATAAAGGATCTTGTCAATATAAATGTTTCTTAGAAAACATATGAAAAGATAATATAATATACATATCAATAAATCATTATCAACCTTACAGCAAAAGCAATGATTCCATAACAATGATAAATGAGAATATTTCTGGCCCTTACACCACAGTATTTCTGGAAGGTCCTATGATTCCTCCTTTTTTTTTTTTAAATACAGATGTGCCCTCATTTTAAGAAACCCTGATGCACACATATCTAAATTTAGAAAGTCCATTGATTACCTTTACAATCAACAATTCTGATTGATTGATTTATTGATTGATATAATCTCTGAACCCAGTGTGGGGCTTGAACTCATGACCCCAAGATCAAGAGTCACATGCTCTACCAACTGAGCCAGACAGGCACCCCATACGATCAACAGTTCTTAAAAAAAAAAAATCAACGAAAATGTTTCTGTAAGGGATCTTTCAAATTAGCAAACTTTCCTAATGTGTTTAGAAAATAATTAACCAATATATGTGTCCCCAACTGCTTTCATTATAGTTCTATTGCATAAAGCGAGGTATACCTGAAGTGAAGCAGTAACAGAATTAGGCCTCAGACCTGACTGGAGAGAGTGTATTCTTATTTATAGTATGAGGAAATGGTTGGGGCACAAATTCTCTCAATCTTTTGTTTCTCTTATCATGAGCTTTTAATTTTTTTGTCTCTGGTGCTTTCTGGTAAATTTTGTTCACCAAGTACTCTCAATAAAAAAGGAGGAAGTCATATAGGAGGGGGCAGATTAATGAATGAGTGAGTCACTCCAGCAGAGCAGAGTGAGAGGACAATCTGGGATTCAGAGTGTGTATGTGGACATAGCTGGGGGAAAGCAGGAGCGATTCTGAACGCTTGACATGCTTTTGAGGCCCCTCTCCCAGTAGGGGCACCTGATTCCCCTTGAGGAACAGCAAGGCCCAGTCCAGCCTTCCCCGGATGGGACACATACTCAAGAGAACGGACTTGGGCCTATTTGTCACACTCCTCCTGGCTCCCTTCAGCACAGTGATAGTGCAGCTCGCAGAACTCCTGGATCCGGCTACAGGCCTCCAGCATCATCACTGTGGGGACTGTGATCACCACTCGGAAGAAATTCGGGTACTCAAAGCACTGCAAAAATAAGAGCCTGTTATTCTCATAGCAATTGAATCTGGTACTAAACCACCCTACGATGGCCAGGGTCCTAATCAGCAAGAAGCAGTGATGTCATTTACTCAGAGCTATCAGTTGACTCAGTTCCACTGTGAAAGGTGAAATAAAATGGGGTCACTTATGTCAAGGGGTTTTAAAATGGACCCAGAAGGCCATTAAGGAGATGGATCTTATGCACCTCTTCACCCATGAAACCATGAACTTTTGAACTGGGCCAAGCCACCAATCTCACAAGGACTCAGCCAGAGTCTTGAGACTTGCTACAGTGAGACTTCGTTTAGTGATAGCCTTAGTAACCAATTACAGTCAGCCAAGATTAGTTTTCTGCCACCAATCAATCAAAATTCTTTATAAATAGCATATACAAGCATTCCTTTTTGTCTTTAAAAACACTTAAAGGGGTGGAAGGACACTATTTGGGTCACTGCCCAGATCTGTGTTCCCCAAATTGCAATTCTGAGACACCGAATAAATGTTTTTGTTTTATTTTAGCTCCGCTTCTTTTCTTGGTTGACACCATCATTGGGGTGCTAAGTCTAGAAACAATTCATCTTAAAAGGGACTTGTGGGACAAGCCTGTTTCCCCTCACTTAAAATGTTCAGCCACAACGTTTCTTCCCGGTATGGATGGGATAATGATGAGGGAGAAACAAATTTTAAATAGACGTCATGAAACACATCAGTTTGAATCTTATCAAATGAGAATACACTTTGTTGAGGGGAAAAAAAGGCAGGCTAAAGACCAACTCAACCCGAGGCTCTAGAAACTGTTGGGAATGTCCTGAGAGACATGAACACTCACCGTTGCTGGGAGGCAGTGGACTGACTGCTCAGCAACTAACCGCTCTGTGAACTCCACATCATTCTCAAATTCTGGGAAATGTTCCATCTCAATGCCAACCTATACCAATTACAGGGAGAGGCAAACTTATCAGGAGGGAAAACAGGCCAACTCCCCATGCCAGAAACTAACATAGGGACTGCTCTAAAAAATATCTTGGAACTCTACTACTGATAACTAAGAGTTCTAACACTTAGGAGCCCATGGAATTTTTCATAGGAAAGACAGGATGTCTTTATATTAATATTTTAGTTTATTGAAGCATTCCTTCCTGGATGTTGATAAGTGAAAGCTGGAAATAGAATGTCAGTGTTTCTCTAAAAAGGCAACATTAACATTGTGAGCCGGGCAATTGTTGATTGCATGGAACTATCCCACCAATTACAAGATACTAGTGTCTCCAGTCCACAAAATGCCAATGCCCCAAGTTATTCTGGTAACAGGGGCACCTGGGTGGCTCAGTCGGGCAAGTGTCGACTTTGGCTCAGGTCAAGATCTCAGAGTGGCCTGAACAGACATTCAGAACAAGGCGATTCCTAAACTAACAGGTCCGGAGGCTTAGCTGGTTGTCTTTGTGAGTCCTGCAGACCAGCTTCTGCTTGCCTTACAGAAAATGCCTGCCACCTACATACTTACCATGAGGTACATGGCCCCAGAAGGGCGGACTGGCCGGAGTCCAGGGATGGCAGCTAGTGCGTCATAGCAAAGATCAACGTTGGACTACAAGAGGAGGCAGAAAGATGTCAAGAATCAAAATATAAGTGAAAGAAAGGCACGTCATTAAAAGTAGAGCCCACACTGGAGGCAGGGAACCTAAGTTTGCTCTGCTGGCATCAAGGGCACAGGAAGTAGGCGAGAAAAATATCCTACCACTTTTGGCCAGGAGCAGAGTGAAGTGCCAGAAATGAGAGACATGGAAGGGTGGATAGTTACACTGATGCCATCTCCTGATTTGGAGGCCCCATAATGGCACACTGCTCCAGAAACGAGGACATGTGATTCCTAACTCCACTGGCGGCATTTCCTCACTCCCAAAGTAAAAGGCTACGGGCTGCCCTTACCTTCAAGAAGCTCAGAGTGTTGTGGTAGAAGTCCTGAGGGGTGCGATGTAGGATGCTTTTCAGAGCTCCCTGGACAATGGTGCAGGGTCCCAGGATCCGCTGACTCAGTTTCACCAACCCATCTCGGATCTAAACGCCCCCAACCCGCAAACATATTATTTAGCCTTCCTTAAGCATTCCAGTTTTGGGGATTCTGGTTCTGGCCATTCTTTCCATCAGATGGTGCGTGCCTACTGGCACTCTTAGATCAGACCACTGGGGTTTGTAGCCCAGCTCTGTCACGCACATGCTGCGTGACTCAGCAAATTGTACAATGTCTCAGTGCTTCAGTTTTCTCAACCGTAAAAAGGAGATAATACTATGGCCTCCTAGAGTTGTTGGGAGGATTACAGTAAAATAATGTGTATCAAGTGCTGGCATATTGTAAGCCTGCAAACAAAATCAGGTATCATTATAGCTATTGTTTCCTTATTTGTGGTCCTAAAATTAGAAGCAATGGAACTTCTTCATAGAACCAGGTACAAGAAAACTGAGTTTTGGAGAGGAATAACTAAGTACCATCTTTACCCAGCATCTTTTGGCACCCAGAACTACAGGGCCAAGAAGAAAGAAGAAAAAACAACACTAAAACAACAAAAAAATCACCACCCAACCACTGTGCATGCAAATTAAATACACATATATATCCTAAATTAGACATACTGTATCACCTCATTGCTCTTACCTCATTGCCAAAAATGTCTCTTCGGTCATGGATGAGGATCCAGCCCAACCTCCAGCCAGGAACCAGCCAGCGCTTGGCCAGCCCTCCACAGGACAGGATGGGGACGTTGCTGCTGAGGGTGGCCAGAGGCTCAAATTTGGAACCCGAAAACACCTGAGGAGAAGAGATCCTTGCAGTTGTCTTCTGGCTTACTTTCCTCCAAATCCCATGCCTTCCAGTCTTTACCTTGTATAACTAGGAACAGGGCCTTGGATTTATGGACTCATCCTACCCTAAAGCATAACTGGGAGCCTAGGAGGCTTCAAAGGAGACTATACAGAGACATATAACCTGACATCTGGTCTGGATTAAAGGAAGCCTACGATGAGGATACTGATCCTGGCCCAGGAATATATACAACTCAACAAAGCTTGCTCTGGGGAATGAATGCTTGTTGGAATTAGACATTTAAAAATATAATAGGGGTCCACAACCCTTTACCTGAGATTCCTGGGCCCATATTTGTTGCAGAATGTAGGATTGTTTGGATTTTTGAGAAGTTTACCTGGATCATATATTATGTAACACCCCCAAGGCAGTGTGGGACGGCGCTCCTAATCAAGCATATTAACATTTCTTTCCCTTTCCTTACATTCTTGACAAATATATATATACATATATAAGTGAAATACATAGAAAATCTACAAATATCTTTACATCAAGTCAAGCCAGGTTTTTCCACCAAAGGAATTTCAAAAATCTTCAGATTTTTATAGCTTTTTGGACTTTGGAAAACTGGCTAAGAGATTGTAGAATCTATATGTACTTTTAAGAGTGTAGGGATACTGATATGCTGTACTGAAATGATTAGGAATTACTTCTGGTGTTTTTGATGCCACCTCTAAAGGTCCCATGAAGTAATTTGGAATTGAGATTATTGTAGTGATAGATCCTGCCCAAGACTTACCATGTCTCCATAGATCTCATCAGCTAAGATGGGGACACACTGCCTTGCAGCCACTAAAAATAAGAAAAAAAGGCTGAAATCATTTTTGTTGTTGTTGTTAAGTAGGCTTCATGACCAGTATGGAGCTCAATATGGGGCTTGAACCCACGACTCTGAGATCAAGACCTGAGCTGAGATCAAGAGTCGAATGCTTAACCAACTGAGCCATCTAGGGGCCCCCAGGCTGAAATCCTTTTTAATGTGAATTGCCTTAGCAATTAATATTCACCTGGACTTATTATATTTTGCATTTCATATTTATGTGTTTTGTTTTCCAATTTAAGAACTATAAATTCTTATACTCTTCCAGGATACAGAGGCTAAATATACCATTTAAGTAACCAGATATTTCAAACCTGCTCTTCCACATATGGGAATAGTGAAGAGGCAAGTGCTGCCTTTTTCTCCTTCTTGTAGGTGAGGTCTACTGCTCCAGGGGCACACTATTCACTGGAGACCCCAGTAGAGCTCCCCCACCCCCCATCCTCAGCTCGGAACTAACCCTCTTCTCATTCCAGGAAAACAGCTCAAGGATCCTATCCCCATATCTTCTCCTGTCAAATGAAGTCTGATGGACTTACCAGCCAGAATTTTCTGGAGATGACTTTTACTGTACACTGACCCACAGGGGTTTGATGGATTATTAACAATGAGACAAGCTGTCTTTTCATCAATTAGAGATTCCAGTTGTTTCAAGTCAATTTCCCAAGACTTTTCTGGCTGGGGAGAAAGAAAGGGTGAGACTAAGATGGTTCTGAAAACTTGAGGGGGAATATTCACTTAACAGTATATTCTAAATAATAAAATGTGTTTGTGGCCTCCACCACCCACTTCCAAATCTTTCTGTGCTAAGACAATTGTCATATATTTTTACAAAGCCATAATTGAACACTGGGGTCTAAAATTAAAAAGTTGTTTACCAATAAATTGTAGAGTTTGACCTCAATTCCCATTGATTCAGCCAAAGTCCTATAAAGAGAGAAACCGGGTCTTGGAACTAGGATGTTTTGTCCTGGGTTGGCCAACACAGCTAAACAAAGTTCAATAGCCTGACTGCAGCCACTAGTCAGAATGACATCCTGTGAAGAAATAAAAGGTACATTTTGTTAAGGGTTCCAACAGCAGTGGGAGAAAAGACATTGTCAGATAGGTGAGTGGGGAGCAATAATAAACTTACTTTTACAAGCTCTAAGTAAAGTAGTAAGGACTGTACTAAGCCAAAATTGGGGGAAAATGCTTATATATGTCCATATCTAAATGTTGAAAATATTGACCACTTAAAAGAAGTAAATCACTTTAACAAGTACATGTCAGCTATGACTCAGCAGACTTCCATGAGAGATCATTATGACCTTGGACTTTTTCACTTGGTTATTTGTTTACCTTCGACCAGAAATTTGAAGCCTGATTCTTCTCTGAAATACAGACTGAGGGACCTCTTATGTTAAGAAATATCAACACACACAGTAGACGACAGAGGGAGAGTGGCATTTAAACTTGTGGCCCTGCCATCGATTGAATATTCCATAGTACCTCAATCTTCCCATCTGAGTGAGCTTTTTTTTTTTTAATGTTCATTCATTTTTGAGAGATAGAGACAGAGGGTGAACGGGAGAGGACAGAGAGAGAGAGAGAGAGAATCTGAAGTAGGCTTCAGGCTCTGAGTTGTCTGCACAGAACCTGACAAGGGGCTTGAACTCATGAACCATGAGATCACGACCTGAGCCAAAGTTGGACGCTTAACCAAATGAGCCACCCAGGAGCCCCCCCATCTGAGTGGGGAAGTGAATTATGGAAGCTACAAATTTAAGAAAGAAATTTAAGAAAGATCTTATTGGTAAAATAAAAAATGTTACTTATTTGGTGTTATGAACTATTGTTTTTTAAAGTTCTTTTGCAGAGAATCAAATGTAGAGGAACCTCTGAATCCTTTGAGCCTCAAGACAAAACACCACATAAATTATATTCAACATTATCATCATACTGTAATGACATTAAATATACTCAGGGATTAAGTGGCCTCACTCTATGAGAAGTTCTCAAATTGCTAAAGGGAAATTCTTCACGCCTTTTGTTTCCCGAAACTGTTATTCCTTGTGGAACAGAGACAAGGAAAATGGGGTATAGTTTGCCCAGTATTACTTCAGAGCTGTTACCTTGGTTAAGCCCTACCTTAGCTTCCAGGGGTGCCTCGGGCCGGTGGTAATAAGAAGCAATATCCTCACGACTGGATAAGTAGCCTGAAAGAGCCGGAAGGAAGAAGCTGAAAGTTTGCATCTGGCAACTGACCACTATGCCCTAGAGTCAAAAGGACCTCAGGCTAACTCCTGCCCCTGCTTAGAGCACAAACTGTTCAGTTTAGCTCTCAGCCACTATAGATAAAGGAGTTATGTGTTACAATTTTATAATAATCTCACATGTGTAAATAATAACAAGGAGAACTTCCCAAAGTATAAAATACTCTGCACCATCTTGATTACTATGATTATGTTTTATTTTTCATAAAAAACAATATTTAGATTTTTCCTAAATCCCTTCCAGGACTATATATTTTGAAGACTTGTAATCAATGCATGTAATACATTGGGTGCCTTTTAAGTTTTTTACATTATATCATATACCTATTAGTGGTTTTGCACAAGTTTTTCTTTTAAATTCAATTCTTATACAATATTTCCAAATGTTGGCTTACAAGTTTGACGTAGGGACAGCATCATGCAGATTGGTTTGCGAAACTGCTTTTAAGAAGACTCCATTCAATTATAAAGATACAATATTTCATAATGTTCCACTTAACAGTTAGAGATAAATGTCTTGAAGTTATATAAATCAGCACTTCCTTAATTACTAATAAGGAAGAGAATTTTCCTAGATAAATGTTATGGCCTATATTTCCTTTGGCATGAAATGTTCATATCGTTTGAATATTTGTGAAGTTGAGAACTGGTTTTGGTTTTTCAGGTTGAATCTGTTCCCTAATACTTTGGGTATAAAAGTTATAAACTTGTTTTATAATCTAATTTTTGGTCTTCTTTTGTTGATTTTTGTTTTATGAAACTTTATAAAACATAAACAATCAACCTAAAAATTACGTCCCTCAGGCTCTTTGAAGTGTTTTTAAAATTCTATTTTAGCACAAAACTGGATTTGCATTCTACATTAGAAATATGTCACTATATCTTGTCATTTGCAGCAACATGGATGGATCTAGGGGGTATCACGCCAGGTGAGATAAGTTAGACTGAGAAAGACACATTCCATATGATTTCACTCATTGTGGAATCTAAAAAACCAGCAAACAAATGAACAAAGAAAAAAAGCAGAATCAGAACTATAAATACAGAGAACAAACTGATGCCTTCCAGAGGGAAGGGGGTAGGAAGATGGGCAAAATGGGTGAAGGCGAGAGGAAGATACAGCTTCCGGTTATAGAATGAGTAGGTCATGAGAATAAAAGGCACAGCATAGGGAATACAGTCAATGGTACTGTACTAGTGTTGTATGGTGACAGACGGCAGCTACCCTTGGGGTGAGCAAACATAACGTACAGAGATGTTGAATCACTGTCTACACTTGAAACTAATGTAACATTGTGTGTCAACTATATTCAAATAAAACAATATAAATAAGTTTTAAAAAGGAAAATAATATGTTGCTAGGTACATATGGAGACTGGGGGTGTGTGTGTGCAACACTGAAATAAAGTCAAAGGGTCACTTATTTTATCAGACATTTAATGTGGAAATGGTTAGTAGATGGAGACAGTTAAACCTAAATAAGAATAGGGATGGGCAAAAAGGGGTAAAGGGGCCAACTGTATGGTGATGAGCAGTAACCAGGCTTGTGGTGATCACTTTGCAGCGTATACAGTTGTATTATACAGCTGTACACCTGAAACTCCTACTGTAAAAACATCTCAATAAGAATAACTTCTTTCTGTCAGAAATAACCTTCTCTTCTTCAATGGAACAGCCCATTGTTTGTATTCTACTTCATTTTTATCTCTTTATTTAAGCTGAAACAGCTATAAATGCATTTGAATGTGATCAGAACATTCAACCACACGGTGATATTTGACCATAGTTAAAATAAGGGTTGAATGTATAGAGAAAAAGAAATGAAGCCAAGAAGCTATCTACATAGTGCAAATAAGTAAATTAATGTAGGACCTAGAGGCTAAGTAAACAGGCACCTGCAAAATCCAAGGCCTTCATATGAAAATTAGCAATGTTGGTTGAGAAATAAGTACGTGAACAGAACAAAAGAGGCAGAGCCAGTGGGCCAGAGGAAGCCAGGAAAGGAGCTGAACCCTGATGGCTGTGTTCAAGCATTCCGAGATCCTCGTCCCCAAATCCAAATGGCTATTTTATCTTAGCCTCTCCTTAGGATCTATGAATCAGGGAAGCAAAGAGAACTGCTGGAAACTTACTCCTAATAGAAGAGCACTAACAATTTGGACGCCACCAGACAGAGTCTCAGGAGAAGCTTACCAATGGAGGGGGCGTAGCCATTATACTTTCCCGAGTCTAGAGCATCTTTCATCGCTTGGGTGACTTCAGGGTCTGTAGGCAGGTTTCCAAACACAGTAGGGTCCCCTTTTCATGGAAGAGAAAAAAAGAGCCCCCAAGAGGTTACTCTTCCATGCCCAGTGCTCGGACTCCCTCTCTACTCCCATCTTCTCCAAGCAGTTGTCAGGATGGGGCTAACAGCGACGAGATCTGCCCCTCACCTGAGAGTCCCCAACTCACCAATTGACAGAGCAATCATGGTTTTGTTTGGATTAGGCTTCACCTTCATGCTGTCCACAATGGCCCGGATGGGATTGAAAGTTTTGTTGGACATGTCTGAGGGCCTCACGGACCATCTGGCCTTCCTGCCTTTCATTTTTCCTGGCACGGAGCTTCTCCCACCAAGGTTGACGTGCACATCCAGAACTGAGGGAAGGTTGCTGTTGCTGTTCATCTGAATCACATATGGGTCCATCACTAGTAAAGCCTATGGGGAAAAGGAGGTCCTTGTGACACTAAGAACAGAGCAGCATCTTGGCGGCCTATATCTGAACCTAAACGTAAGCGTGATTTCATTAGATGTCTTTCCAAACTGCTTTGTTGGCCACATTTTTCATGCTTTGCGAATAAGGGGAGTTTTAAGACTTTTTGCTGAGATGGAAAATAAAGCAAGAACCCATTTTATAATGTTAGCAAAGACCATGCACTGAATACTTATCTACTGTGAGACTACATGCAACCATAATGTCATTGAAAGTTTAACTGCTCTCAATGAGACTGAGGGGAACTGACATGAAAATCATGAAACAAAGCATATATATGTGTTGCCTCTTTTCCATGCAAAGCCTATCCAAGTGTCTCCCTAATGCTTCAATAGACTGTCTTGCCCTCTGCAAGAACCAGGAAGGACCATTCCACACTGTTAGAAATTTAGTGTTAATATTTTGTCATTAGTAAAAATAAAGCCCTATCCCACGAGCACCTTAGTGTCCTGTAGAAAAAAGAAGTCAATACACCATAAAGAAGAAAGCACACATCCCAGTTACCACCACATTAGCTGAGGCTTGAGATTTTACCTTCCAACTACAGGAGAAACTGCCCTCCCAGTAGCCAAACCTGGAAGCTCTTAGTCCTTCTTTGACAGGTCACAGTGACAATGGCCTCAGATGCAATTCTTGACTCCTGAAATAGTTTGCACAAATGGGCGTTGGGCCTGGAACTTTCCTGCTATTGGCTAGGGTGAGAACTGGGTGTCCAGCCCTCCTTTCCCTCCCCTTCCTCACTTGCTGCTTCTCACCTCTAACTCTTCCTCCACCCCCCCCCACCCCCCACCCCCCCACCATACCTGGGAGTTTGTCCTCACTTCAAACCTCTGGAATTCTCTGTGTTAACTCTTTCTGGGCACTTTGTGAGACATTTGAGAGGACTGTCAGAGGGCTTATTAGGATTACAGTTGGCAATTTTTATTAAATCTCTTTTGATACAAATAACCCATTAAAATGTTAACAGTACAGACATGTGTAAAGTAAAAAGTGAAGAGTCCTTCCTTGCACCTTGCTATCTACACACTTCATTTTCACTACCCCCAGAGTCCATACACTCTCCCCAGGGGTAGGCAGTGTTACGTAATGATTTGGCCATTTCTATCCATTCGCCAAGACAGATTAATAGATAGGTAGATAGAGGATAGATACATAGATGGATACAAGATAGATACATAGGTACATCATTTTATAGATTTTCAAAACACTGAAGGAATTAGCGAAGGAATTCACTATTCACTGAAGGAATAGTTGCACAATTTGTTCCGCAACATGTTTATTTACTTCCTGCATCCTGCACTCCTTTCCTTGTTCACAAGGTTCTTCTTCAGTCACAACAAATGGGCAGTTGAAACAAATTAAGTTTCACTCAACAAGTACCTTAAAAGATAGTAGTAGCGTCTTCAAGGCAACTAAAACCTGTGGAGAGTTATCCTGTACTGTGAATTCTCCTTCATTCACCTGCTAGGATGTTGTGGGGAGAATAAGATGTCAGGTGAAGTCTAAACAAACAACCTTGCTAAGCAAGCACAGCAGAAACCTCAGCATTCGGGTGAGCCTATAAAAAAGACCATCCACTCAAGGGTTAAAAGAAGCCTCTGGGACTCCATCTGCTCAGATCCTATCTGTTTATTTATTGGAAGACAAAGAGTTGTTACATAAGTTCTTTCTTCTCCATTTACTTTTAGGTGATTGGAGTCTCCAGTGGGGGGTGAATTACCTTTTATTCTTCTGGACCTTTCATCTCTTAGTGCTTTGAAGAACTTATCTAACACATTCCCTTTCCCACCCCAGTGAAGCAACTAAGTGTTCACCACCTCATCTTAGGGCGGAGCAGCAGAAGCACAAGGCAAGGGCAGGAAGCCAGCCAGGTCATAGCGAATTTCAAATTCAAAAGCTGGAAGCCCTGCACCCTGAGCTAGATATTCAGGGCTGCTCTGTTGCAAAATGCAAGTACACAGCCTTGTCTACAACATCCAAAGGCACAGAGAAGGAAGAAAGAGTTGCATCAGTTCTGCTATTTGGCACCCCATGGCAAAAGGCACATGGCTTCTTTGTTTTACTTAATGGTAGTTAAACATTGTACAGACGGATGTATACTTTTGCATAGCTGCCAACACAATGAGAACACCGTATTGTTTCCAAAGCACACAGATTTTGTCAAGAAAGAAGACCTTTCTTTCCTAAATGCTTTTATTCCATCACCACCCCCATTTGAAATATAATACATGTGTACTGGACAAAATCAGAACAAACTAAAAGCATTTATAATTCTACCACCACTCTTAACACATTACCCTTATTTCTCCCCCACAACATAGATCTCTTGTTCTTTACATATATTTTTCAAATTGAGATAAAATTCACATAACAAAATATTCACACCTTCATCTTTTCAGAGTATGAGATTCACTGATTTTTAATACACTCACAATATTGTGCAACAATCACCACCATTTAATGCCAACACATTTTCTTTTACTCTTACTGTTTTAGTAATTAAAATCCTCATATAGTAAATTGAAATTCTGATGTTTGTAAACTAAACTCTGAACACCTTTTCCCACAACTCCACTCCATACAGATGGTTGCTTTAGCCATTTCTTGTATATCTTTTCAAGTGTTTTCTGTTTCTATACAATACTTAATACTTACATAGCTGGTTTTAAAGTTGTTTGAAAACATAGATACTACAAATTTGTTCTATATAGCTGCACTGTCCGTTATTACAGCCACTAGTCAAAAGCAGCTATTGAGTACATGAAATGTGGTTTGTCTAAAGTGAGATGTGGTGTTGGTGTAAAACACACATCAGGTTTTGAAGACTTATATGAAAATAATGTAAAATATCTCATCAATAATTTTATATTGATTACATGCTTAAATAATATTTTGGACATTTTGGGTCAAATCACTAATTTCACCTACTTCTTTTACATTTTAAAATACTTCTACTAGGAAGTTTGCAATTCCTGTGTGGTTTGCATTCTGTTTCTATTGAATAATGCTGTTTTACAGCTTGCCTTTTAAAAAATCTTAACACATTGTCTTGATATCCTTTCCATTTTCATACATGGAGATCAATTTCATTCTTTTTAATGGCTATATACTGTCCATTTAACCATTCTATTCTTGTTGGACATAGGGCAGCTTCTATTTTTTTCTCTCACAAATAAAACATTGAACACACTCATTATTGATAATTGAAAATTATTTTATAAGTATCCTATAATTTGTAGGATAGTTTCCTAGAGGTAGAATCACATTTCACATACCGAAAGACCTGCCAAATTGATCAACTGATAGACTATAGGAAGAAGAGACAATGCAATATGTCTTATTTTGACAACCTCTTGGAGTTCAGACTACCTATCACAACTACATATCCTGCTTAAGGGCTGACAAAGGGAATCAACTGAGTTTTACAGCAAGGGTTCTCTGGGTGATCAGAATCTCAGAGGTTAAGATTCTTTTTCTTTCCTTTTTTTTTTTAAATTTTTTAATGTTTATTCATTTTTTGAGACAGAGAGAGACAGAGCATGAATGGGGGAAGGTCAGAGAGAGAGGGAGACACAGAATCCGAAACAGGCTCCAGGCTCTGAGCTGTCAGCACAGAGCCCGACACGGGGCTCGAACTCACAGACCGTGAGATCATGACCGGAGCCGAAGTCAGACGCCCAACCGACTGAGCCACCCAGGCACCCCTAAGATTCTTTTTCTTAATATTGGCCGTTGCAAGAGTCAAGCAAAGATGGGACTTTTTTAAAAGTTAGAAGCTGATTTCCGTCACTCAATGTTTACACTTTTTTTTTTTTTTTTT